GCCTATAAATACTGCTGCTGTCATTAATGATCATCAAACAACAAAACAGCTGTGATAAAAATCTATATTTAATTTATACAGTGAACACTATGCAGTGTTATTTTCCCTAATTATTACATTTCTGTATTTGAATACTACCAACCTTATTTTAATTGTAACATTCTGTTGTATTTATCTATGCTTGTAATTTGTGTATTTGTTCTTATTTTTACTGGCTGTTCTCTTGTCTCTTTAATCATGTTTAAACTTTCTTAGTTACTCTAGTAATATTTGCTGTGGTATCAAAGCAGTACTTCGCTTTAAGTAATACATGGAAAGCAAGTTGAATTGAAATATTTTTCTTTTATTCCTGATCCTAAAAATGATCCGATCCGTGGGTCAAAAACCGTAATGTGATCCGAACCGTGAGATTTGTGATCCGTTGAACCACTAATTGTGACATCATCGCAGATCGAGTTTAATTTATCCCCACCCCCAAACAAATCTATAAATAATTTTTTTTTACATTTATAACAGCCCAAGCATACCTATATACATATAGAATGCTGCACCAAACAAATTCGTAAGGGAAAAAGTGTAAACAATAAACCAACTCCACAGCGGATTCTAAGTGATCAAGGGCTTAGGACGTTCCAATTAAGCCCATTCCAAGGGTTCCGCCAGTAGTGGGCAATCATGCAACATAATCAATGACGTACATCCGAGTAAACGAGACGGAGGGAAGTTTGCGAGTGAAGGGCATAAAAAACGGACTGGAACACAGCCCAAGTCCCAACCTACATTTTTTATTTTTCGATAGTCAGTTAAACCCAGATGTACGTGACATTATGAAAGAAAGGATCTGCCGCTTCTTCCCTTCCATCTCAACTTTAGAGAGTGCTTGCAGTGAGGCTGTGTGTTACTTGGCATGAATGGTCAACTTTATCACTTAGTGTTGGCAAGATGTCATGATGCAGTATAGTCTAATAAACTTGCTACAACAGTGGAGAAAATATTTATTTGATCCCCTGTTGATTTTGTAAGTTTGCCCACTTACAAAAAAATTAAGGGTCTGTCATTTTTATGGTAGGTTTATTTTAACGTAAAGAGACAGAATACCAACCAAAAAATCCAGAAAAAACACATTATATAAATGTTAGAAATTGATTTGCATTTCAGTGAGTGAAATAAGTATTTGATCCCCAAGCAAAACATGACTTAGTACTTGGTGCAGAAACCCTTGTTGGCAAGCACAGATGTAAGACGTTTTTTGTAGTTGGTCACCAGGTTTGCACACATCTCAGGAGGGATTTTGATCCACTCCTCTTTACAGATCCTCTCTAAATCCTTAAGGTTTCTTGGCTGTTGTTTGGCAACTCAAAGTTTCAGCTCCCTCCACAGATTTTCTATAGGATTGAGGTCTGAAGACTGGCTAGGCCACTCCATGACCTTAATGTGCTGCTTCTTGTGCCATTCCTTTGCTGTCTTGGCGGTATGTTTTGGGTCATTGTAATCCTTGATAGGCCTGCACGATTAATCGTTTGTAAACCGAAATCGCAATTTGAAAGGGTGCGATTTTCAAATCGCAAGAGCTGTGATTATTTCGATGAAGGACTATCAAATATGTAACAAGCATCTACTTAGTTTTTGACAGTTTGCTTCATGCACATTTTACTTTGATGCAGAGTTTAACCAATAGGGGGCATTTTAACACTGCACGCGCTGACTGAACCAGCAAGTAACGCCATTTGGAAAAGATAAGCACGAGCGGGAGCAGCAGTTCAACTTCCCAACAAAGTGTGTCTGCAGAAGAGCAAAATTTAAAAAAAAGACCTAAATATCTCAAAACCTGAATCTCAGCGAATACTTGCCTCAAAGACATGAGAAATATATAGAGTTTATATATTGTTAATTTAACTAAGATACTGTAGTTATTTTCTTAATTTGTCATGACAGATGTTTGCTCGCGCATGTAAACGCCCACATCGCCTCCGCGTAAACAAATGTGAAGAGTTCAGCCCGGCTACTTTTTGTTTCTAGAAGACGACGCGCTGAGAGAAACTACCCAGAATGTACCTCACAACGCAATGCGTCGCGCAGCTAGATCCAGTGGAGAATATCACTCTGATGAGTAGCCTAAGATTACTTGCATCTGTTGTTGTTGTTGTTATTGTGACATAACTTGTACACATTTTACTAAGACTTTTCTAATAATTCCTGACTACATGTTTGAAATCAAGTGAAACATTTTGAAATATGTGTAATTTCATTGTCAAAATGTCTCAAATCGACAGGATGTTTGTTTAATGTTTTATAACATACAAAACCACAAGATATAAAAGTAGTATGAGTGTTAACACTATGAATGAATGTTAGGCACACAGGTGTGTTACTGTTCAAGTCTCAGTGTTCAGATCAGTATGTTCAATCATGTGTCCTTGACCTTCACTGTCCTTGCGGGTGCTGCAGGATTTCAGTCCATTTTGTGTTACCAATGGTTTGCTTGGTGACTGTGGTCCCAACTGCCTTAAGATCATTAACAAGCTCCTCCTGTGTAGTTCGGGCCTGATCCCTCACCTTTCTCATGATCATCCTTACCCCTTACATCCTTATCCTTACCGATTGATGGTTGTTTTGTATTTCTTCCATTTCCGAATAATCGCACCAACAGTTGTCTCCTTCTCACCAAGCTTCTTGCTGATGGTCTTGAAGCCCATTGAAGCCTTGTGCAGATCTACAATCTTGTCTCTGACATCCTTTGACAGCTCTTTGGTCTTGCCCATGGTGGTGGGAGAGGTTGGAATAGAAGATACAGATTGTGTGGACAGGTGTATTATACACCTAACGAGCTGACATTAGGAGTAAATTCAAAAGTGGCAGGACTAATCTGTGTTCCACATGGGCACATAACCAATCTGTGGGAGCCAGAATTCTTGCTGGTTGGTAGGGGATCAAATACTTATTTCACTCACTGAAATGCAAATCAATCTCTAACCTTTATATAATGTGTTTTTTCTGGATTTCTGTCTGTTGTTCTGTTGTTGGTGTTTCTTTGTTTGAATACGGCGCTTATCACATGCTGTGTGGTATCGGCGTTTGGTATCGGGGCATTTTAACGAGTACGAGTACGAGTACAGGAGCTCAGTATCGGGCCCAGTATCGGTGCATCCCTAGTTTCAACCTTAATGTAGGTTATGGTCTTTACTGATGTAGAATTGTTTACAGTGTGTTTGGGTTCTTAAAAGTTTAAAGAGTTTATATGTTTTTCTCCAAATCGTGCAGCCCTAATCCTTGAAGACTTATCCATGACCCGCCTTCAGTGTTCTGGCTGAGGGAAGGAGGTTCTCGTCCAAGATTTTACAGTACATGGCCCCGTCCATTTGCCCCTCAATGCGGTGAAGTCATCCTGTAGTCTTAGCAGAAAAACAGCCCCAAAGCATAATGTTTCCACCTCTGTCCACATGGGCACATAACCAGTCTGTAGGAGCCAGAATTCTTGCTGGTTGGTAGGGGATCAAATACTTATTTCACTCACTGAAATGCAAATCAATCTCTAACCTTTATATAATGTGTTTTTTCTGGATTTTTTGGTCGGTATTCTGTCTCTATCCATTAAAATAAACCTACCATCAAAATTACAGATCCTTCATTTCTTTTTAAGTGGGCAAACTTACAAAATCAGCAGGGGATCAAATAACAACGCTCTACATTGCGAGTAAATCACTCACATATGCGAATAAATCTTCACTCTGGGTGACTAGATGTCTAATATTAGCCAATGGCTAATAAATTCTCAGATTTTAAGTATAAGTTTAGCACAGAAATATTTTCACTCTCCGAACACACTACCGTCAAGCGATCTGTGCTTTTTTTCAGTTCATCTCAATGGATGCACAGCGCACCCGTGTTTGACGTACCGTAAACTCTAGTGTAACGGCGCACGACTCGCCGTCGCTTTGGTGTGAGCAGAGAGAGCGAGAGAGTCTTGCAGAATTGACGTGCTACATGTAAACGATATTCTTTGTTGTATTTTCCTGTCAAAATAACGGTGTTCCTTTGGATTTTTTCAGCTTTTAAGAACGGATCTACTGCGCAAACGGCAATCTCATTGGCTGGTGCTCACCTATTATCGTCCCTGTTTTGATTTCAGCAAATCAGTTTGAGCGAACGCACACAACCTGATTAATATTCATGAATCCAGCAGCTCGTTAATCCTTAGTGCATTTTATACTGTTCTTATTAGTAGAATTTGTATTATTATTATTGTTAATATCATCATCATCATCTTATCAGTATTATTGTTAGTTTTTTTCCCCTTTTTTTTTTACAGAAACACTGAATGACCAAAAAAGCGCCACCACCCAGTCCTAAGTTCATGGTTACAGTCAGTCACCGCACTGGTGTGGATATTTACTGTACTTTGCAGTCTCAGATTCTAGCCTACGTCTTGGAATATATGAACCAAATAAGCATTTTCACCATATATTGTCATCTGAACAAGTAAGTAACAACTATGGCACTTTTGTTTTGACCAATTGAGGAAAAAAGCATTAGCCTACAATAAATCGCGCTACCAATGGTGATTTAATCTAAAGATTGGTTTGCTCATATCACATCAAACCATGCAAATTATTATTATTGCTATACTTTATTCTCAAATTATTAATGTTAACAACATTTTGATTTCAATTTCTGTACAGTCTAATATCTAATTGTCATACCATTCCAATTTCATATTAAGAAATTATTTTAACCCAAAAAGCAAATTATGCTCCTTCGAACTGGTTGTCTTTAAAATACAAATCTTGTGTAATCCCAGGCTATCTGTAATCAGAAGCACATTTAAAACTGGAATATAATTTAATTTCATTCACATTTCTGGATTACAATCCGCCATCAAAATGGTACATTTAATTATAGCATATAATTATGGATTGTTAGTCATGGAATCCCTGATGTCGGCCCCGTTTAGCCAAGCGCTAAATACCCTCAACGTTTTTTTGCAGCATTGAGCAATGTAACCAATCACAGATATATCTGTTGATTTCTTGAACGCAATGGCCAATCAGAAACGTTTTGTCAGAATTCACTCACCGCTGAAAGCACTGCAGTTTTTAAGTGCAGTTTTGCAAGCTTGTGAATCATCTCATGACTAAGTGCAGACGCGATGTAAATAAGAGATTAATTGTGCAGTTTAGAGAGCTTCATTGATTATAATGGAACTTTGTAAGATCGCGATGAACGAAGATGAGTGACGCTTTTTAGTGATAAAGGGAGCGCGCTTTGCGCACTTTCTAGGGTATAATCCATTCAGAATTTGCATGAAACTTTCGTTTTTCGGACACACAGGCTACACCTTGCAAAGTTTCGGGAATGACATCCTCATATTTACGCGGGATTCACTCTCGAAATAGCAGTGATTGGCAATGGACGGAACATGTTGATTTAATTCTGGAACCGGTCCTGGCCAAACCTCCACAGACAGCGCACGTCCCGAGCGAGTTCTAATTCACAGACCAAAAGCGTGTGTAAACTTTATTGAAATCGGGACATATCAACCAGTAATTTAATTTAATTTCCAGTAACAGACGGTAGAAAGTTCCAACAATGAATGGTATGCGATTTATGACAGAATATAGTCCCACAACTGATCATTTATTTTTTCCTCACGTGTCTCGCCTTTGGTAACAACGATTCAAAATGGAAACATTTCAAGTGACAAGGGAAAAAGACACGGAAAACTTCAGTGAACATCAGAAAAGCATAGCTAGAACTTTAAGCAGGCTGTGTGCATTTTACTGTGGACTGTCTGTTTTGAAACTTATATGGTAGTTAAATAGCCCCTAGACCTCAGTTATCGTGAAAAAAGCCAGGGAATTTCAGTTTTGACAATATGGGACCTTTAAATTACAAAAGAATCGAGCCATAACTATTTCAAACAGACATGGAAACTTTAGTTTCCAAACTCCATATTAAAGTCGGCATGAAACGGAAGTTGCAATTGTCTTTTCTTCTCTACTGTGACGTATATCGAGTGTCGAGTGAAACAGCATCTGAAATGAGAGGGCGGGACTTGAGTTCGTCCTTCGGGAATTGATTGGATCGTTGGAAGTTGGGGCGTTGCCAACAAAATGGAGGTAGATCTAAGATGCCAGTTTGCAGTTAGTGGTGGGGGTTTTCGCTCCACTGGATTCACCGCCGACACCAAAGCATGAATAAATGTTTTATTTATTAAGGAAGACGACGACGATCAATGGCACAAAACATGTGAGAGAGAGAGAGAGACTGAGATCGTCCTCCATCAAGTTAAGTCATATTCATAAAAAAAATCAAATTAGTTTGCGATGTCCTAAGAGTAATGTTGTCATAATATCCTAATATCTTTTCAATGTTTAAGGGTAACGTACTCCCTCATGACTGGTGTCAGTACTATAAACTAAAGTGAAGCAACAGCTTCAGCTTTTCCCCCCAAACGTCACTAATGTCACTGCAGCTGTTGGCAGTTCCAGATAGCTCCGCCCTTGCGCCATAGCTCGTGACCGGAAGAGTAGAGGAGTCATTTTGAGGGGGAGGGTAGGTTAACGCTTTTGATTAAAGATTACAAGGGCACATGAATTAAAAAAAAAATAATGAAGTGCACGGATAAATTATTTATAATAAACACTACAGTATTCCATCAAAAAATAAGAATTGTCAATTTTGATTTCATGCCGACTTTAAAACTTCATATCGCTTGATCTACTCACCATCTCCTTGTTTCCAGAGCTCAGAAGGAACTTTAATGGAAAGTTCCCCATTTCCAGCATCTGGATCTACAGCACTAACAGCTGCTGTGTAAGCACTGGAGAAATAGTTCAGGTTCCTCCTGTTAACCACACAGTGATACAGAGAAAATATGTAGCAAGATGAAGACAAGAGCAGACTTGATTTCCAAAACATTACTACTAATGAGAAATTAAATACTGACAGATGACAGATACACAGGTGAATTTCAAAAAGAACCGTGTGGGTCATATTTCACTCCACAATAATTAAAATAAGAAAAAATATAAATGCAAAAATGAATGTGAAAACATAAACATGAAAATAATGCATAAAGGACCTAAAATTCTTCTTTTTTTAAATTTTGGAATTAAATGTCTCAGAAACATTTGTTAACAGTGTTTGTTTAAATTTAGTTTTCTTAAATTTGAAACAAAGATTCCTCTCATTTAATATAACTTAGTGTCCATTTTTTGAAAAATAGAAAGTTCATAACTGAGCTTACTGCTTGGATTCATGATGGCAGACCTCCAGTGTAGGGTCGTTGTAAATGAATGGAGCCTCAAGATCATTCACTCTCACCCTGTAGATACGGCACTGCTTGCTATTCAATTTAATACGGTTCAGGTTCATCACTGTTGGAAAGATGGTCAGCTCCACATAACCCTATTCAGAGAGAATGAATGTTTATATATACATATATACACACACACACACATACATACACTAGTCAACATTTGAAGTGGATCAAAACCTTTCATCAAAGTTGTCCTAAAACCAAAATGCATTCTTGTCTTAGGACAACTTTGATGAACTTTTCTGATCCACTTCAAATGTTGACTACTGTATATATTAATAATTCTGGCACATTTATCAATGCCATAATCAAAATATATTTTAACATTTTATCAACATTTGTTAATAGTTAAAAAAATTAAGCTTCATGACATTTATAATTATCAGACTGTATTATAATCTGTTCAGTATTACAATTTTAAATAAAGTTTTTTAAAGTCTTGTCTCAAACTTAACACGTTTTAATTTTTCAACATACTGCATATTAAAAGTCTGCCTATTTCCCATTTTCTGCTTCATATACACACATCATGTTCAGAATCTACATAGAATCAGAATATAAATGACTACTCACAATGACAGACTTTCTCTGAAAATTGATGTTGTTGATGCAGACTACCTGATGGGTTGTAAAAAGATAAACAAACAGTAGTGTTAAATCCATGCGACGGCAAATTATGATTTTAATAATCTATCCTGATTTGGCAAGTAAACACAACTGCAATCATATTCATGCATGCTGTGAGAATAGTGTATTTGATACTTATAGTTTATATGGTCGTGGGCTCTCAAAGCCCTTGTCTTTCTTGCGGTTCATGCTGCTCTTCAGTTTATTCACTCAAACCCTCTTTAACAGGTTCCGTTTCATTAAATCCTTAAGTTCTACTTGTTTGAAATACTAAAGACAAGTTATTTCTTGCTCAAACATAGCTGTAGTCCGTCTTGTTACGTTTTAATTTGTGAAATGACTGTAAAGCGCAAAAAAAAAATCAGCAACAGAACTATCCTTTTTCTGCATGTCTTCAGCCATTTTGTTTGTAACCGTAACCTTCGCCCTCCCGGCTTCTTCTTCTTCTTCTTCTTCTTAATGTTTAACGGCGGTTGGCATCCAGCGTATTTGGTGCATTACCGCCACCATCTGCTCCGGAGTGTGGATCCAGACAACAGGTTTTGCCCTCCCGGCTCCCGCGCCTAAGGGTTCTTGTTCTTCTTCTTCTTCTTGGTTTTTAACGGCGGCTGGCAACCAACGTAAATAGGCGCATTACCGCCACCTTCAGCTCCGGAGTGTGGAACAGAGTTTTATATTCTATTTATCAGTCCCGTCTCTTTAATAAAATCAAATTAGACTTTACTATTTATTTCACTTGACTATTTTATTAAAACCTTAAAAATGTTTTTCTTCTTCTTCTTCTTCTTCTTCTTCTTCTGCTTCTTCTTCTTCTTCTTCTTTGGTGTTTATTGGCGGTTGGCAACCTAACTGATTTGTGCATTACCGCCACCGTCTGGAATGGAGTCCTGATGGATCAGGATTTTGCTTGTAAGACAAAATAAAACAAAACCAAGCAAAACAAATAAACAAACTAGAAATTAAAACAAAACAAATAAAATACACTCAAAAAGACTATATTCTTTTATATAATTTAGTTTCTTTTACAAATGTAATAATAATATCATCATCTTATTAGCTGTTTTCCCTAATAAACCTGATAAAGTAAAATCATGGTGTTTTACCTATGTGTTTTACTTTCTTCAATGACTGAATAAGGTGGCATCTCTCACAGTTGTGTTTTATACAACGAAGTAGTACATGATCAACTGTTACAGTATTCGCATTCCCCAGTAGGGTGTTAAGTCCAGGGTTCTCGGATGTAACTCGATTATCTATCTACCTCAAGGGGGCGCGTCTTCTTCTTCTTTTTCTTCTTCTTCTTCTGTGGATTACTGGCGGGTCGCATACTAACGTTTTAGGTGCATTCCGCCATCATCTGTGCTGGAGTGTTAAAGGGGTCATATGATGCGATTTAAATTTTTCCTTTCTCTTTGGAGTGTTACAAGCTCTTGGTGCATAAAGAAGATCTGTAAAGTTGCAAAGACTAAAGTCTCAAATCCAAAGAGATATTCTTTATAAAAGTTAAGAGTCAACCACGCCTACCTAAAATGGCTCGTTCTAACACGCCCCCACACTATGTGGGAAGATTTGCATAACACCGCCCAAATGTTCACGCAAAGAAAGAAAACTTTTATTCTCGCTGTTGCCACCGCGGCCATGTTGTGGAGACGCTGTGTGTTTTGTTGTGAAAGCGAAACTACTTTGTTTGGCCTTCCAAAAGAGGACGATATCCGCTTCGTCATGCCTAGAGCTGATCCATGCTGGTCGCTGAGGAAATACATCAACTGCACGCTGTGGATCGCCGGATCGGCTTTCACCATGGAAGAAGCGGAGTCCAGCCCGGGGTCGTCACACGTGGTTGCCGCAGGCATCACAATATGGTAAGGGACGTAACATTTCCGTCACACGCTTGAGGAATTCGGCCAATCACAACGCACTGGATAGCTGGCCAATCACAGCACACCTCGCTTTTCAGACCGATGAGCTTTGTAAAAATCGACACATTTCAGAAAGGCGGGGCATAGAGGAGAAACAATAACGTACAGTTCTAAACGCTTCGCTAGTGCTCGCCATAGTAGGAAAGAAAAAGCTCTTACTTTGCTTTTTGGAATGCACGCTTCAAACAGACCGGTCAGTGAAGACGAAGAAGAGAATGATGTGTGCTCCCGGCGCCTATTTATACTATAGTCGCACCGGTAGTGACGTCATAGCTGTCGCCGGCCAACGAGTTGGTGTTTTTTCAATGTATGCTTCAGACACGGGTCACGACGAGGCGTTCCCCATAGCGACCCCTAGAGGACGCAGTTCGAAGTTCCCATGAAAGGGAAACAATAATGTACAGTTTGTGGAAAATAATGTGTTTTTTTTTTTATTTTAAGCCGCATAAACACATTTCATTACACCAAATATACAAAATAATGTTCTTTTTAGCAACATCATATGACCCCTTTAAGTGATTTCATCTAAATTTTATATATGAGTCCACTATTCTTGATGAATTTTGAAACTGCTTTTATAATTATACCATATCCTTGTTTTGTACATAATAATTTGCCAACTGTCAATTCTTTGCATCCTATGTTCAGTAATTCTCTTTGTAAATAATTCCTTTCTTGTTCATACCTAGAGAGGAATAGCAACACATAATCAAGTTTCCTTTTCTTGGCATATTTCACATAACCCTGTAGTGTGTTTAGGCTACCTATTATGAAGTGTAGAAATAAGTTTTGTGTGGCCCATCTTTAATCTTGTTAAAATGATCTAATCTGTAGAGAGGAAATGGTATTTTGTATATATACAAAATACCATAAGACAAAGTAGAATTATTAAAAACTTAAGTAGACATTTTTATAATATATTATAAAAAATGTCTTCTTGTTTTACTGTCATTCCACTTTTGTTGCCATTTCCTTCCTTCAAGTGCTTCTTTAGCCATTTTATCAGATTTTTTTATTTATTTATTTTTGTTTTGTTTTCCTGGTATATAATGCTGCTCCTGCACAGTAAAATCAGCAGTGTCAATTTAACACTTAAAGTGTTAATTTTAACACTACTAAAGATCATATATGATCCCAATCTGTCCAGAGTTAAAAGTACACTGTTTGTAGGGTTGTTAAAATGGCACCTTATTGTCAGACTCTGTTCCGTGTTTTGTGGTTGTTTTCCTCATGTGCCTTCCTTTCCCATGTTTAATTTGTCCCAGGTGTTTCCCATGATGTTTCATTGCTCCCAGGTGTGTCTCGTCATCCCCTCCTCCTGTGTGTATAAATAGTGTTCCCTGTGTGTGCTACAGCGTCCGGTATTGTTTGTGTCTACAGTGCTACGTGTGATTCCCCGTGAAGATGAATAAATTCGGAGTCCCCAGATCCGCCTTGGCCTCCCGATTCCCCTGCTCCGCCATGGCCTCCCGAGTCCCCGGCTCCGCCTTGGCCTTGGCCTCCCGAGTCCCCGGCTCCGCCATGGCACCCGGAACGGGTACCGCTCTAGAGGCCCACTGTCCCGTGTCTGTCCTGAGGGGCCCCCAGAGTGCCCAACCCCCCCTCCCCATTGGATGTTATATGGCGTGAGGACACGCCTTCTGGAGGGGGGCGTTATGTCAGACTCTGTTCCGTGTTTTGTGGTTTTCCTCATGTGCCTTCCTTTCCCATGTTTAATTTGTCCCAGGTGTTTCCCATGATGTTTCATTGCTCCCAGGTGTGTCTCGTCATCCCCTCCTCCTGTGTGTATAAATAGTGTTCCCTGTGTGTGCTCCAGCATCCGGTATTGTTTGTGTCTACAGTGCTACGTGTGATTCCCCGTGAAGATGAATAAATTCCTTGGTTTCTGTACTCTTGGTCTCTTCGTTCCTTGCTCCGTGTTCCCGCACCGTAGCAGATCGTGACACTTATAGTGCTGAAAAATGACACTGAGGGTGTAGATTGTTACACTTACTATTGTTATCAAAATTTTACACTAGGGGTCATTTAACACCTTTTGGTGTTGTTGTTATTCCTTTGGATTACTCTAAAAGTGTTATCAAGAAAGTATTCCTTTTAGTGCAAAATTTATTTTTACATTGTTCTATGGTGTCAATGTACATTATCAAATCTAAAATCAAGAGTCTTCAGACAGATATAATAACTCATTTTTATTTAAAAACTGGGCAAAGTGGCTACTTTAAAACAACAGTCAACAGTTCAGTCAAATTCATGAGGGGTTGCACAGAAATACAAAATGGATAAAACAAACGTATTAACTTCACAGAGACCTGAACAAGTGACAGCTAAATTTGAATAAGATTACAGTAGGGTACAACAAAACAAAATAAATTATCAGACCCGTAGGACATCTGCACATCAAAAGGTTTGTAATAAGTGAGTTCATTGACAGTAAACACTTTCAGAGATGCACTGGGTCTGTGATCAATTCTGTAGGCAAAAAGATGCTCATCAAAACAAACAGTTTTGAACTGCGATGTAACCAGTAACACGCATTCATTTCTGACAATAATATCCTTGATTTTATAAAACACTGGCAAATCAAGGTCTACCTGACCACAAATAATTAAGGTAGAACGATATTCCGTTCCATTATACTTCACCCATTTCACTGAGAGAACATTTGTTTCTGGAGGAATATTCAACTTAGATGCAATCTGAAGACTTTCATTCAAGTCACTGACACAGACATTCTTTCCTGGTCCAAGTACAATTCTGTCATAGCTAAAGGCTTCCCAGTTATATGCCATGAAATTCTGATATTTTTTGGCAAGCATCTTAAGTTATGTTCTTGAAACATTTTGGTTTCTTTATTTGGTTTAGTCTTTAAGAAATTGTGTTTGGACTCGTATCGCATTGACCACATGTGAACAATAGGCTCAATATTTCGTATACACCGAGGGTAGTGACACATTAAATCATGTTTAGGTAGCAGATTCTTTCCTGGAAATAAGCACTTGAACAGCCTGTGATGCTCAGTAATTAAGTGTTTCAAATAAACAGTAAGTCCTTCAGTTAAAATGGTAGAAAATACAATGTTCACTATTTGTAGTAAAAGTAGTAGTAATTGCCAGTATTTATCGTCTTGGGGCACAATGTCACCATATATTAGCGGTACATTTCGGAGTAGACACCAACACTGTATTGCATTTATGCCCAAATCATTGCTCTCGTCATCCAGTTTTACAGAAGGAGGCCGATTTCTCCTCTCCATGTATCCATAATTAAATGAATTTAATCTGCCATCCAACTCTTTCGCTGTCCAAAAATTAGCTTGAACATATTTTAAAACAAGTTTTAATTCAAACTGAGCAACCCCCTCTAAAATATCATGCATTATGTCCACAGAAAACTTGTCTGATATATTAAAGTACTGCAGAGTGTTTAACAAACATGTACGTTTCACACCACAAACTTGATGTAGTGTTGGGTCTGATTGTAGAGCTTCACAGTGTCGTAAGTGTGTTTCTTTGGTGCGGAAAGTTACATTTGGCTCATCTTCACAGAACACAGTTTGATAATCTTCCCTTTCAGCAAGACAAAACCTACAGTTATTCCGAGCTCTAAAAGATTCAACAAATCCAAAAAGGCCATGTAAACCAAGATTATCTCCCGTTACTTGGACAATGCTGCCACGCACAAATCCGGCAGGTCCTTGTATAACCTTGTTTTCAAGGACTTTTGTGTCATTTACAATAGGTTCCAATATTGCGTCAAATCCATATGTTTTGATGTCTTGGGCATGGAAAAGTGCACAGTATGTTTGTTAGAGATTAATTAAATTGTGGTGGGAAATTTCTCAAAGTAAAATATATACCGCCTAATCTGTGAATTCCCTTTTTGGTAACACTTTATTTCGATAGTCCACTTTAGACATTCTATTAACAGCAAGTAACTTTGCAGCTACATGTCAACTAGCAGTTAGTAGAGTACTAGTAGACTGTCTGCTTAATATCTTCTAACACTTTCTTTGTCAACATTCTACTAACCCTAAACCTACGGGATGACTTTTTATGTACAGTCCATCTTCAATATCAGAGTAAATACCTTTTTTATTAGGTAAACCTGACTTGAACCTACATGTGGTGTTTGGGTGCTTTAAAATGTTCTGTAAGGTTTGGAGTATTGGAACATAGGCAAACTTGTCAGTCACTGCAACTTGCTCATAAGTTCCAGTAGTCCTGTTTTTTCTGTTGTCAAATCTGATTACTTTCTCCACAGGCTGGACAATTCCCCATTTTTTGGTAAAACATGATTTTCATTTAGATATGGAATTAAGCATGGTGAAAGGGTTTTCAATTTCATGAAATGACTGCTCAATTGAACTTTTAATGTCCGTGTTTTCTGAAAATAAGCAATTTAGTCTCTTTTACTTGATCCTGGATGTCTTGAACTACTTCCTCCATAGACATAACAAAAGTATCAACAGTAGTCTGACTAACACCTGCAGCTTGCAATTGTGCTATTGCTGATGCACACAAATCGGTAGTGTTTTTGCCGGGAACTGGCAAAGAACTGTCCTTTGAACATGTAGCCACATCAGTATTACTTGGTAGCCCAACTGTATTATGAACAACAGCATCATCTTCAACACATAACAAAACTTTACTTCCTTCATGAACTCTTTTTAAGTGTTTGCGAAAACCTGAAAAAGTTGCAAATTCTAAACAGCAACCTGCTTCACCACATTTTAGTCAAAGTGATTTGCCAGGCAAGAGCCCATGAATTAACTTTAGATGTTGAACAAGAACATTTGTGTTTTCCAGACAACAAAAACAAACAAAACAAATCATTTTTCCCAGCAATCAAATCTAATGCAGGAATCTAGCTCTGAGTTCAGCAACTCTTGGGCACGCTGACCTTGCCAATGTCAATCTGAAAAACTGTTGTTTGTACAAAGATGTACATGTTGTGCAGGACTTTGCTGTAAGATGCAACAAACACAAAGTGCACTCTGAAAAGTTCATCAAAGGCACTGAGACCACTCACTGATTTGCACGGTATGGCTTTCTTGTTGGGAATGATGTATCCATGAATGCTGTTCTTCTTTAGACCCATGGCAAGCAGGTATGGCTGTGTGCTTTCTTCAATGGAGTCCAGGTGGTCTTGTATGTTAGTCCCGGACTAAAGATTAAAAAATTAAAATTAAAACCAGCTCTCCAACTGACTCTCTCTACATTAGTTTTTCACAATACAATTAGCCCAACAGACATTGATTTTAGGCAGACTACAGGTAATGACAGTAAAGACCAAATTTACCTTTTTGAAGATGATGAGGTGTTTTTCTGCTTGAGATGCGGACATCTTTCCAGGTCTCTTTCTGCCTTGTGGTGAAGGTGGGATCAAATGAAGTAAAAGAAGAATAGAAGCAATGTCACTGTTCCATCCTGGGGAAAAAGAAAAAAAAACAGAAATGGCAACATCAGAAAAAAAAAAATACATGGAGAAGTCTAAACAATCGTATTCTGAACTCTGACAGTCTAACCTGCATCCCCCATTTCATTCTCCTTCACAGTCATTTCAGCACAGTCAATCAGGTCCTGAAGGGCTTGGGGGGAGTTAAGCTAAGAGTAAGGGGGCGGGGTTGACCTTGTTGCTATGGATGATGTCAGCATGCTTACTAACTATGCACACAGTGATTGGCTGATAGTCTCTGTCAGAGATTTATTCATAGAAATATTGTAGAGCGCGATATGATGCCATATTCAAATAAAGATTTAAAAATAAAAATGTTAATTGCCACATTCAAATAAAGATTTTAAAATGCAGGTTTGATATGTTCAGCTAATTGTCAGCCTCTTATGCTTCTCCTAAGCAATTAGTGAATATGCATATAAACAGCCTTTTAATTAACAAAGTAGAATAATCATGGCCGATAGTAATTGTAATGCGGTGTTTGGGTTTTGTTTCATGTTCATGTTTTCATGTCTTTTATTTTGTAATTGTTTCATGCTGTCAGTGTCATGCTTCCCTTGCCCTCATGTATCTCTGCCTTGTGTATGTGTCATGTTCTGATTGGTAGTCTTAGTCATGTGTCTTGTTCCCCATTGGTTTGTTCATGTCATGTGACCTGTATTGTTTGCTATAAGTAGCCATCATGTTGCCATTGTCTCTCGTCGTGT